CTCTCCCCCCCTCCCCCGCGCCATGTAACCCCGCGGAGCCGGCGGCGAGGGAGGCCCCGCCCCCGCCCCGCCGCTCCTCGCGCCGCGGAGTCCGCTCACTTCGCCTCTCGCCTCTGGACGGCTGCGGGGCGGCTGCCCGAGCTGTGTCCTCTCGGCGCCCGTGCCCCTCAGGCGGTCGGCGCCGCGGAGGACAGCGCACCCCGCCTTCGGAGGGGGCATCCCCGGGCGCGGGGGGCGGCGGCGCGGACCCAGCCTCGCTCCCGGCCCGCGGGGCGCAGCGCTGGCGCTGGGGCGGACTCCGGGGCCGCCCGCAGGTCCGGCCGCGCGGAGCCACCAGCAGCGAAGCCCGGGGTAGGGCGGACCCGACGGCGCGCGGGGCCCCAGGGCGGCCAGCCATGACCTTCGGGCGCAGCGGGGCAGCCTCGGTGGTGCTGAACGTGGGCGGCGCCCGGTACTCGCTGTCCCGGGAGCTGCTGAAGGACTTCCCGCTGCGCCGCGTGAGCCGGCTGCACGGCTGCCGCTCAGAGCGCGACGTGCTGGAGGTGTGCGACGACTACGACCGCGAGCGCAACGAGTACTTCTTCGACCGGCACTCGGAGGCCTTCGGCTTCATCCTGCTCTACGTGCGCGGCCACGGCAAGCTGCGCTTCGCGCCGCGGATGTGCGAGCTCTCCTTCTACAACGAGATGATCTACTGGGGCCTGGAGGGCGCGCACCTCGAATACTGCTGCCAGCGCCGCCTCGACGACCGCATGTCCGACACCTACACCTTTTACTCGGCCGAGGAGCCGGGCCCGCGGGCCCGCGACGGAGCGCGACCAGCCGGGGCCGAGGCGGCTCCCTCCCGCCGCTGGCTGGAGCGCATGCGGCGGACCTTCGAGGAGCCCACGTCGTCGCTGGCCGCGCAGATCCTGGCCAGCGTGTCGGTGGTGTTCGTGATCGTGTCCATGGTGGTGCTGTGCGCCAGCACGCTGCCCGACTGGCGCACCGCGGCCGCAGACAACCGAAGCCTGGATGACCGGAGCAGGTACTCCGCCGGCCCTGGGAGGGAGCCCTCCGGGTAGGACGCAACGCTTCTCTGCCCGTCTCTCCGTCCAGTCCAGTGCGTGCGTGCGTCCCGTCTGCGTCCTGTCTGTGCCGACAAGGGGACGCTGGTCCCCACCTGCGCCCCTGTTTATTTCCCCGGGTCTGGCCCACCCCTTAGATGTGCATCCCAAGGGAGAAATCCCAGGCCAGGGGAGGGGAGCCTGGACGTGACATACACAGCCCTCCTCCCATCTTTGTGGTTTACTTCTGAACCAATAGCACCCTGCTAATTGGGTTTGACTAAACTTTTATTCTGTTAGCGTGCAATAATTTAACCTTGAGCCGAGAGCAGTTTGAAGTATTTGCCACTTTCTTGTGGTGTTTAGGTAGATGAAGTCTTATTCTGGTGGAATGTGGTCCACTGTGCACTGCCCACACATTCTGTACGCGCTGATCCCGGCATAATGTGTGCTGTGATGGATTTCCTATATTATAATGGAAGCGCTTCTGGAGACAAAGTCTCACTGTATAGTGCAGGCTGGGCTTTTAGTCATGTAGCCCAGGCTGGCCTCGAATTCATGGCGATCCTCCTACCTCAGTCTCCCTAGTGCTGGGAGCACAGGCCTGCGACACCACGTCCTGCAAGAAGAGGCTGATTTAACGTTAGACTGTAGATAATGGATGCCTGTTTCCATTTCTCCCCACCTCCCCCAGCCCCCAAAGGATGGAGTTAGCAAAGCTCCTGTTCACCTTTTGGTACCAGAAATTCACACTGTGACTGTCAAAGGGTCCTCCGTATGGGGAAAAACCAAACCAAACCAAAACATTGTCTTGGAGAAGAGGGTGTAAACCACCCTAAACCCAGAAACAGTATTTGGATAGTTTATTTTTTCTTTCCCTTTTACTAAGATAGGAGAAAAATATTTTAATCTTTCTAAGATTATGCTTACCTCTTAATGGTGATAACACTGTTATGTTTTTAGTACAAGTGAGTATATTTTGCATATTTGGTGGGAGGAATAAGCAGATGAAAGTTGGACTTTCAAGGGAGACAGCCATTTTGGGCACAAAAACTCAATTGTGTATTGTTTTTACCTTTGTTAACTGTTTTAGTATATGTGCTGCTGAAGCAAGCACTTTTGTTAACTGTTTTAAAGTTTCCCTTCCATTCACTTTCTGTTTTACTTTTTTCTCCATTCATTTTTTAATTTCAAGGTTATGCCCAGTAATCTTTTCCTGATAGGTATGTTAGCAGTGGTGCCATTTCTTGATATTGCAGTGACTTCTACAAAGTATTTTTCCTGTGGGGAGTAGGGATTTCTATATAAATATAAAGTAAATAAAATTGTAAATAAAATTGTCTAGTATCACTGAGTCTATTACTGATATGCCATCTTGGCGTGAAATCCAAGATACATGCTTTGAAAAGAAATAAATTGGGAAACTCATTTTGTTTAGGTTCTGTTTTCAATTTGCAGATAAGATTTGCTTGGTACTCCAACAATACAATGAAATTAACGTAGATACCTAAACACTTAAGTGCTCTTGATTTTTATTTTTTAAGAGGTCACTGGAAAATGAGCCATAAATGTCTGGCCTTGAAATGTTTCACTAGTAACTCTAGAATTACAAGGTTAGTGAAGGTTTGAGCTATATTAACAAAGGAAATAGGAGAATTCAGTTATTAGAACAGATATTGAGGGAATTGGCTAAAGCAATATATAAGCAAAAACAGTTGAAATACATGACTACTCATTTTTTGAGGAAGGGAGGGAGTTTAAGTAGAAGGCAACCTGGAAATCATTAATGTAAAACATTTGGAAGGAAATGAGAGATGAATAATAATTTCAGGGAGAGACAGAGAAAAGGAAAGGGGAAGAGACAGAGATGGAAAAGAGGGAGACCACAAAGGAAGGGGAAGAGTAACACTTCATTTTGTGTGTATGTGCTTCATATATATGTATAATTATTCAAGTCAGAACTGTTTCCTAGATACCCAGATATTTCAGGCAAATGCGTGTTTTTCTTGGCTTAATGGCCCAGTTTGAAGCTTCCTTTTATGAGCATAGGTATATGAAAACCAGTATTTGTAATCCCAAGTAGATAAACTGAAGGATGGCCGGCCTACTGAGGATGCTGACATTACTGACGAAGCCTTTCCTGGCCTCCTTCACCAGAGACAGTCTTTTCCACCCTGCCTGCTTGACTTTCTGTTTCTTTTTTCTTTCTTTTTATTATTTTATCTTATTTTTGTGGTTCTGGGGATCAAACCCAGGGTCTTGCCTAGGCTAGGCAAGTGCTGTATTGCTGAGCTACATCCCCAACCTGAAATTAGTCCTTATTAAGTATCACTCTGATCTTTTGACTGTATTTGGGATCTGCCAAAAGCTGAAACTCCTTTCTTAACTGCAGCATGCCATTCTTGATATATCCCATCATAATTTGCAAGTATCTTTTTTTTTTGGTACCCCGGGATCGAACTTGGGACCTTGCACTTTCAAGGCAGGCTGTGGCACCACTGAGCTAAATCCCCGGCCCTGCAAGCATCTTTTGAGCGAATGCCGCGTTCAAGGCATTGTTGGTGTTCCAAATACTGTAGCTTTTTATTTGAAAGATGTAGTGCTCAGCGGCACAGTAAATGTTTTGAATTAAGTTGTTCTGAGAAAGTGAGGTGGGGAAGATGGAAAGAACCTGTCACTGGAAGGTTGCAGGGTTGTTCACTCACCAACACTGGGCAAGGGGTGTCATTCATATAAAGTACATATGCAACGTGCACAACCACGTATGCCACGCCTGGGAACAATAAGGAGACTTTTGCAGATGAAGGAACAGCATGGGTACGGGCATTGGCATGGAACGAGTATGTTCTGTTTAGGCAGTGGGCATCCAGGGATGGGGTAAGAGGAGACTAGAGAGCAAGTGTGAAGGAAATAATCCATGTTGCATGTTGTGTGGGCAGTGTTAGCTTTTGGCTGGTTTGTAAGGCTTAGGGTGAGTGGGTTGTACATATAGAGTAATGAGTGTGGTGTGTGCCATGAATTGGAGATGGAGAAGATTGGGAACCAGGCAGAGGAGTTTGGAGATCTTTGCCAAGGAGGGGATCAGAGCTTGGACTGTTTTGTGGAGGTGGGAGTGGAGAACAAATGGCAGCTCTGGGACATACTAAGGAGAATCGTAATGACTCTGAGGTTGTAGAAGGAGATAGACATTGGGAGCTTATTAAGTGACCTTTACAAGCCTGGAGTCCTCGCTCTGCACCACCCACGGGCTCCATTTGTCCAGGTTGGCCCGCTCACTTGTTCCCGAGCCAGCCCAGTATGCCTGCCTGCAGTCTCCAGCCTGCTGAAATTGGATCATTCATCAGGCCCAACTCAGGTTCTGTTTCTCCTTTGAACCCTTTACTGTCCTAGTAGATGGGGTGTTTCCTCCTGAACTTGTTGAGGGACTGCTTATTTGTCCTGCTTGTTTGGCATCTATAATACTCTTCCCAGCATGGTAGTAGTTTTCACGTATAAACATGTCCTGTCTCCTAGGCTAAATTAGATGAACAGCCCTTGAAGGCAGGTGAATTCTTTTACTGCTTGTTATTCCAGCATCTTTGAGAGAAAATATTACTCAGGCATAATAAATATGTATTTTTTACATTACATTTCAAAATATACCCTCTCAGAAATATCCTGTGTTGCGTAGTTTGAAGAGCTGTTTGGAGTAAGGTTTGTGAGCTTCCGATGTCAGAACTCTTCATTGAAGCAGATGGGGACCTGTGCTAGAGTAAGGAAAGTCTATTATACCAAGAAACAATTATTTTCAAGTACTGTACTTATTTCACAAAAGGAGTATGTGGCTTCTTTTTGTTAATCTCCAAAATCTCCCTGAAAATCTATGCTTTAGAACACATCTTGGGCTGTCCTTAAAATCAATAATTTAAAAACTTTTTATGAGGTTGTTCCTTTTAAATTAATTTGTTTTCAATGGTTAATGATTGTAAAAATAATAGTGCAAAATTCAAAAGCTAAAAAAATAAGCCTTTCTCCATTTCCCAGCTTTTTCCCTGGATATAACCAAAGTTACTAGTATACTGTGTGCCATTTCAGAGGCATTTTATGTCCTTACAAGCATATCATACATTTTCTTTTTTTGGGTACTGGGGATTGAACTTGGGACCTTGCGCTTGTGAGGCAGGTGGCGGAACCACTGAGCTAAATCCCTGGTCCTCATACATATTTATTAAAAACAGTGTGTGGTGCATACTGTCATGAAACTTGCTTTTTTTTTTGGTATGGGGTGGTATGGGACTCCAGACTTTCCATTTGCGAGGCAGATGGTGGCACCACTGAGCTAAATCCTGGGTGAAACTTGCTTTTTTAACTAAACCAACCACATGTCATAGAAATCATTCCATAGGAGTCTCTAATGAGCTGTCCAATTCTTTTATGCAGCTGCATAGTATTCCATTGTATAGCTGTCCCATAATTGCTGGACATTTGTATTGTTTCTTGTCTGTAGAAAATGCTGTACCAAGTGTACTTGTATGTGCAGATTACTTTGCTTTGTGCAAGTATATCCATAGGATGGATACCTTCCTGAAAGTTAAATCACTGGGTCAAAGAACATGTGCACTTGTAATTTCTATAGATAATTCCAAACTACATCTCAAAAAGATGGTATAATTTATATTCCCACTCTAGTGTACAAAAGAGCATCTTTCTTTTTTCTTCCTTTTGTTTTGGGGGGCAATGCCAGGAATTGAACTCGAGGATGCAGCACATGTTAGGCAAGGATTATGCTACTGAACTACATCCCTAGCCCATGCATATAGTATTTCTTCATATGTTGCAAAATGTTTGATCTTTACCATGCTGAAAGGTGAAAAATGATATCTAGTAGTTGAAATTCTTTTTGTTTTATTTTGCTTGAATTGGTTCTGCTTTATTTTGAATAAGATTATACATCTTTACATATATTGAGAAGTTATTCATCTTCCTGTTTTGTTTTTTGTACCAGGGATTGAACTCAGGACCTTGCACTTGTGAG